TGAACCGCAGGGGCCATCCATGCAGAGATTGGCGGGGCGGGGGGGGGGGGGGGGGGGGCAATTCTGGCAGAGGGAAGAGCAGGTGCAAAGGCCACAAGGTGAGAACAGCATGGAAGTCTTAGGAGGTCAGTGTGACTGGGTGTAGAGGAGGAGGGTAGGGCAGGAGATAAAGTAGGAGAGGAAGTGGGGGACAGATGGGGGGACATCTCAAAGGTCATGAAGAGTTCTGAATTTACCTGCCATGGCTGCCACTGGGGGTTTTAATCAACAACGACACCATCTGATCGACGTCATACAAACCTCACTGTGGCTGCAGCATGGGGACTGGAGGGTAGGCAGGCAAGAGTGGAAAAAGGTGCAGATGCCCACACCAGGAAGGACCAGGCTTGGGTTGGGATGGAGGGGAGCACCTGAACTACGACTCTATGGAAGGAGACCCACAGGACCTGGCATACCAGTCTTGAACTGGTGAGACTGTGTTCTCCTATCATCCCCACCTTACATCCCCAGAAATGTGGCTCAAGACAAGTGCCACCCCTGTGGGGGTCATGAGAGCTGATCGTAAAAATTCTAGTTCTGGCATTACGCCCCCTGGCATTATGCTTGGCTGAGTCACTGGCTTTGGTCAATGAAATATGAGTGGAATGAACATGTATCACCTTTGCGCCGAAGATTTTAAGAGCCAGTTTCTGATTTGCCCCTGTCCTTAGCCTCCTGGTGTTGTGATGAGCAGAACTCCCAGCCAACCCACAATGGACATGAAACATGAGCCAAAAACACACCTTGGTTGGCTTAAGCTGCCAAGATCATGGAGTTGTTACTCCAGCCTAATGAAGACTATCTTGAAACAAGCCCCACGCCTGTGATATTTTGAATTTAATGAGTAACTTTAATATATAACCACTGTGGCTTGCTTGACTCAGCTACAAAGGAATAAACTTCATCAAGTGGTGGACTGATATTCAGGAAATTACCTCAACATGATTTAGGCTCGATCTGGTACCTGAAGGCAGGGTAGCTCCAGTGAGCGCTCTGGGTATTTATAGTTAAACACATGCATGACATACTAAGGCAAAAGAAATTCTTTACTAAAGACAAATCCTGCATCCACAAACTATAAAACGTGCTATTTTATCAATCAAAAGAAGTTCAAACTTGGGGGCAGCTGGGTGGTTCAGTTGGTTAAGTGTCCGACTCTTGGTTTTGGCTCAGGTCATGATCTCATAGGTTGTGGGATTGAGCCCCACATCGGGCTCCATGCTCAGCGAGGCGTCTTTTCAAGAATCTCTCCCTCTGCCCCTCCCTATCACTCATGCACTTGCTCGCTCACTCTCTTCTCTTTCTTTTTCTCTCTAAAATAAATAAATAATTTTTTTAAAAAGTTAAAACTTGGACTAAGCTGACATTTTAATTCTACAATTGGGAGATCACTAACCATGGAGACAGTGTTAGGAAAACACCTAGAAATTCAGGCTAGAAATATACTCATGTGGCAAATTCAAAAAAACTAGACTCTGGTTAACATTTTCTTAAATACTATCCAGCTCTGTGGATTGTGGATTGAATCACTTAATGGGTGCAAGGCTTACAGTAGCAAGGTCCACGTAACTCAATCCACACAAAAAAGTCATGTCTGTGTACCTTAATGCTACAAGTGGCAAGTGAGACGTTCTTGAAGTGACCCAACCAAGGAAAAGATGCTGACATGGTTGACTTTTCTGGGCCGATTTAGAATAAAAACTCACTAGAGAACTTGTCCTCGGGGTATCAAGGCAGGTACCTTGAGCCCATAGGCTTGGTTGGAGCCAGTGCGGGCTTTGTCTCTTAACAGACTTCATCAGTAGCCTTTGCTGGATGTTGCAGTCCTGCAGGCTGACTCAAACTGCCCTTGAAAACCAGATAAACCCTCAGATCTGTCCTGGGTAGCAGCCAAAGGGAAGTGGGTATGTCTCAGTTAGCCAAACGCGCAGGGAGAGAGGGCATCAAAGTATAGTCATGGCTAACCAGTCAATTCGAAGGCAAAAGGCCACACAGGCTAGACAAGAGGCCCCATGACTGCTCATGAGCTGTCAGGTTCCTGAGCAACAGAGGCAACTATCAGGTCCACCCCTGACCATGGGGAGCAGGACCGACAATCTAGTAAAGGACCAGCAGGCCAGGGCATGTGTACAAGCCGGCCATCACTGGGCCACACCCAGCAAGTCGGTGCCTTTAATGCCCAAGCTCCTTTATTCACAAACGGTGTTGCATTGGGTAGGGGGGTGGGGGTGGGGGCGGGGGGGATAGTACCCTACTGACACAGATTTCATGGGGCAAAAGCCCACTGCTGCTGAGAGTCAGTCCCAGGACTGACAAGGATGGGAGAACGTGAAGCAGGGCTGGGGACGGCCCACCTCAGAGGGGAATGTCAGTGCAGTCCCTGCTCCTGGGTGGTGGTGGTGGTGGGTAGGTTTGTCTTAAGTAAGTTTGCAGTAACACCAAGGCTTGCCTCGAGATCCAAGGTGGGAAGGGAGTCGCTTTGGTCTGCAGAGAAAGCATGTGGCAATGTGTGGCCCCCAAAGATGCCTAATGCCAGAACCTGACAGTATCTCACCTTACTTGGCCAAAGGGACTCTGCAGATTTGTTAAGGATCCTGAGCTAGAAGATTCTTGGGGCTTATTGGGTGGGCCCACCGTCACTGCCAGGGTCCTTAGAAGAGGGAGAGGAGTCACAAAAGGAGAGGGGACTCCGTGACAGAAGGTGAGGTCAGAGTCCTGTGGTTGCTGGCTTTGAAGACACAGGAGGCCACAAGCTAAGGAATGCGGGCAGCCTCCAGAAGCTAGAAAAGGAAAGGATTCCCCTCTGGAGCCTCCAAAAAGAATAAGCCCCTTCCCAGCAACTTGAATTTACCCCAGGGAGACGGATTCTGGACTTTCAACCGGCCGCAACTGATAAGATAATAAATTTGTGTTTTTAGACCATGCAGTGGGTGCCACCTTGGTATGGCAGCCGCTAGAAACAAAAACACAACACAAGACGTCTCACCATTGGAATATCCCCAGCTCCCCCTTGTACTAATTTCCCTTAGTGAGATACAGACAGGCCGCATTCCTCAGAGAAGGTGTCATGGAAAGTCTGCCTCAGTGTAATGCTTTCTGCAAATGAGACTATCTTATAATGATAATACGTCGGTTAGGCAGGGTTTTGTTTTATGACATTTTAAGACGTTCTGGATGGGTCCCAAGATTTGTATGAGCTTGCAAGTCATTAGATTAAATCAGTACATAATTTTTCCCCTCTTTTCATAAGAATTATTGTCCTTCTTGCTGTGAACAAGTGTAGAACTTCTCAGTCTTCCGTTTTTATGGGCTGAACTCCACTTATCTTCAGGAAAAAATGGAATGACACATTTATTCTAGGCCTCAGATAAACCTGCTTTATAACAGTTTTAATTAAGATCTAACAGACCCTGACGTGATCAGGTTTCTAACCTGGTTTAAGCACAGAAATACACGGACATGTAAACGGAACAGTCAGTGAGAGTTTTCCCCGTGGAACCCCCAAGTGTTGGCAGTGGGTACAGCCACACTTGTTCTGGTTTTCTGCGAGAAAGATCCAAGGAGACCCTAGCCAGGCGCCTCTGTCACGAGAGAAACTAGGAAATGCATCACATAAGGAAGCTGCCACACGGCTCTGTCAACGTGAGAGCACCACGGTCCTCATGCTTGCTCGGGCATCAGCACCACACAGATCAACACCCAGATTTCTGGGCCGCCAGCCCCAGAGCTTGTATTTCAGGAGGCCAGGGACGGGGCCTGGAAATCAGTATTTGTAATGACACCGCTACTGCTGGTCAGGGGCCACACTCTGAGAACCACGGTGGGAGAGGGATCCCCCTAATAACAAGGCCCAGCTTCTCTCTCACCTGTCCTCAGGAGGGTCACGACCTCGCCTCCTCTGGCCAAACTGCCCTTGCCAAGCTAGTTAATATACTGCATTTGTGCACCTGTCACCGTCTCCTACCGGACTCGAAGCCAGGGGTTCTCCAGCTGGGCTGCATGCTGGAACCGCCTGGAGATGTCTGAAAGCCCTCAGGGCCCCTGCCTTACTCCAGACCTTAAATCCTAATGGGCGTGGGGGCCTACAGGTCTCAGAAGCTTTGAAAGCTCCCCACGTGATTCCAAGCGCAGCCAAGAGGGAGAACAGCTGCTCTAAGCTAATGTGAGGGATGACAAAATGATGCCATCGGGCTGAAGCAGACAATGCGAGGCCCCATGCCAGGCCCAGGCCTGTCCTCCTGGGCCCTGGGCTCCAGCCCCTTGTACCGCCTTCTGTAATGGTGCTCAGTAGACACCTGCTGGAGGAACGAGCCCTCAGCAACCAGCAGCCTTGTGGAGGGCTAGCACCTCCCTTCTCCAGGGTGCCTGGATGAATACCTGGAAACAAATCAGGTCATTATCAATTCTCAACCTTCCTAAGGGAAGTAACCCTATACCAGAAGGAAGCTCCTCTGAGAAAGCTTTACTGGGAAATAACCCCACATCCATGAGTCCAAGTAAGTATCATAACTATGGATAAAAACCGGAAAACATCATTTTGGCCCAGAACAGGGGTCAGCAAACTATGACGCATCAGCCAAACCGAGCTGCCACCTATTCTTACGGATAAAGTTTTATTGACACACAGCCACGTCCATCTGTGCCCACACCAGCTGTGGATGCTTTCACACTACAAGGGCACAGCTGAGTACTTTCAGCCAAGGTGCTGTGGTCCACAAAGCCAAAAATTATTCCTCTCTGGCCCTTTAACAAGACATGCTGGCCGACCCCTGCCCTAGAGAATTAAGAGGACGCCCACAAACAAAACATAACACGCTTGTCTTTAAGTGATGGAATTACGACTGTTTTCTCTGTCCCTCTTTTCTCTTGTATTCACCAACTTCCGAGTCACGAGCTACAGAAGCATGTGTGCAAATCAGGCACTGGTGCGTGAGCTGCCTGGTTCCCCGCGGTGACAGTACCTTGTTTCCAATGGCCTTTTTGGGTGGGAAGCTGTAGCCCCTCACTTGAGGGTACTTGCTCTGTAACTTGTGGTGCAAACTCCTGAACTCTGTGTAGCGCCGATAGACATTCCACTCATCATCTTTTATCCGGATGTAGACCTGGCAAGAAAGGGAAAGAGAAAGAAAATGTGAATCTCCCTTAAAGCTCTTGTTACAGGGGCACCTGGGGGGCTCAGTCAGTTGGGCGTCCAACTCTTGATTTCGGCTCAGGTCCTGATCTCGGGGTGGTGGGATCAAGCCCCACGTTGGGCTCTGCACTCAGCACGGAGTCTGCTTGGGATTCTGTCTCATTCTCCCTCTGCCCCCACCTCTCTAACATAAATAAATAAATCTTAAAAAAAAAAAAAAAGCTCTCATTACAAAGGGGTGGGATTTTGGTCATGCTCTACTCATAAAAGAGCAGGGAGCCACATCCATCTTCCAAGCCACCAGATGCCCAGTGCCTAGTAGGGAAGGGCTTCAGTGGTACTCAGTCAACAAAGAGGTTGAAAGAATAAATCAGGCAGGTTACGGGAACAACACACTGTGTATCACTTCCTAGTATCTGCAGAGATAAACAATCCAGCTGATCTCAGAGACGGTGCTCATACTTTTGTCACATGCATATTATAGCGGTGAGAGACTGCTGGTGAGAGTCTGCCTCCTCTCAGGCTATGCACTTCCTCATCTGTAAGATGCAGCTGATTAACAGCACCTCCTTCCAAGGAACACTGGGACATACAAGCAGGGGTCGGCAAGTCCCAGTGTAGCTGGGATCACGCAGACCACCACACAGAGGAGGAGGAAATTAGTCTGGAGAGGGAGGAAGGGGCCAGGGTTGACATCAACCCAAACTGGATGGAAGGTCACGTCCAGATGGGATAAGCACCACTGGAGCATAAAACTTCCTTAGTTTCAATCAAGATGGGACTCTCGAGAGACCATTCTGGGGGTACACGTTGTTAAGGGCTGTTTCTTCAGCTTTTCACAGGCCCTAACACCTTCCAGGGACACACAGCAATTACATCTCAAGGGAAAACAGAAGTGGGAGAGAGATCAATGCATTTAAAAAATATATATACAAGAATATCCCAGAGAGTAAAGTTCCCAATGATATATAGCTATTGTAATCTGTAATCAGTAAATGCCAAAACACATCTTAAAAACCTCTAATATAATAAAAAGAGGCATCTGTGATGTGAGTGATAATTCTGCATCTACATGAAAACCACCCAGTATTCCCAAATGCAGACATCACATATCTGAACTTTGGCAAGACAATCGTCTTGATAGCGGGTCTCCTGTAATACTCTTGTCAACAAGATGAAGGACAGATGATTTAAACCAAAGAACTCCAATTACTGGACAGAAAGTTTCCAGGGGAATGAGATAGAGAAACAAAGGCCTGTCAAGTTAGTTAGAAGCCTCCAAGCTGAGAGAGACAACACATATACTGGATGACAGATATCAAGTGATCTCAACTGGCCTGAGGGATGAATCTAATCCAACGTTGATGAAATTCAAAAAGATCAGTGTCAGGTTTTACAATAAAATCTGAAAAACCAACCCCATAAGTAAAAGATGGGGAAATACGGCACAGGGGTAGCCTGTGGGACAAAGACTTCCAGACTTTAGTAAATCTGAGCTAAGGAAATAACATGGGAGAGCACCAAAAAAGCCTATGTCATCTTTAGACCTCGTTGAAAGGTATAGGATAACTTCTGGGATAAATGAGCTAAAAATCTTGCTCTATTCTACAATGACCATACCAACTTAGTTAGGTTTTGGCTGCCACCTACTAAAAGATGAATGGAAATACATTCAGAAAGACCCAGATCACGTGCTCCTCAAAGGGCTGTCGGTGGGCCAGCAGCATCGTCATCCCGTGGGAAGATGTCAGGAAGGCCGCATCTCAGGCTCCACCCCAGATGCACTGCTCAGAACAAGAACCCAGTGGTTCACACACTGTAAGGCTGAGCAGAGGGTCTGCAGCCAAATTATAAGGAAGACAGTGAAGGGTAACAATCTGAGCCTCAGGGTGGAGGGGGCAAAGATCTCAGAGGAAAGACCAAGGTGACGTTTTCTGGATGACCCCAGGAAGCAGACTTCCAGCAGATACAAAGTAGAGGAAGGCAGATTTCCAAAGGGAAAAAAAGCTGCCAAGAAGAAAAGGTTTAGCTCAAAAGGCTTCTTGGCACGGGGTGTCCAAGCAGTGGTATGATGACGGATGGGACTGTTAGCCCAATTATAAGACTCCAGAAGCATCTGGAAGGACCTGGCTAGTTGTGGAGAAAAGGGACTTCAGGCTTTCAGTCTCTATAAACTGAGACACAATGGATCAGTTAGCAAATAAACCCAATGGACGGAGTTCAGGGGACTTTAATGAAGCACATTTGGGGCATTCTTTGGGTCCTCTTGGGTCACAGCAAGTGCTAGTTGCCCAGCCGGTCTCCATTTTCCCCCAGTACTTCTGCAGATAGCAGTGTGTTCAGGAACAAAACAACAACAAAAACCCAAAACAAAAACTTAACTACATTTTCCTGCCTACCTCAAGGTAAGAGCAGGTAATGAGATGTAAGCAAAAATCACTGGGACTTCTAAGGAAGCCCTTAGGAGAGATCTGACTTAGCTAATAGTGCCCTTTTACCCTTCTTCCTTTCTTCTTTCTTTCCCACAAATGTGATGATGACTGGAGCTCCAATAGACATTTTGTATTCATGAGATCATCTCAATTATGGAAAAAGACAGAAGGGCCTGTGGGTCTCTGATTGTCCTTATAGAGCCACCACAACAATTACTAGACTATCTACTCAAAAAAATTTTTCTAACAAAAGAGAGTTATTCATCTTGAATTTAGAGGTCTTTGTCCTGGTGGCTGAATGCAGCTCCAACCTGCCACATCCTAAATGGACTCTGTCTGCCTGTAGTATATTGTTATATAAATCCAGTATCCCCTGGAGAATGGCAAGTTCAACTGCTTGTCTGATTATCATGCACAAGGTTAATTATCTAGATCAGTAGAGGTAAACTATGGCCCATGAGCCAAATCCAGCCACATCCATTTATTTACCTATTGTTTATAGCTGCTTCTGAAATATAACGGCAGAAGTGAGTGGTTCCAACAAAGACCATATGGCCTGCAAAGCTGAAAATATTTATTTTCTGGCCCTTTACAAAAAAAACGTGTTGCCAACCCCCGATCTAGATACTCAGTACTCATTACTGTTAGTTTCCCATGGACACATCCAAGATCTGGTGTGGAAAAGGGCAGTGCTTTCCAAATACTATCAGCCGCTGGCTGGGATGCATTAACCCTCTGGGACCCAGGAATCCGTCGTGCTCCAAAGTTTCCATAGTGATTCTGATGAGTGGACGTTAGGGTCTGAAGGTCTATGTCCCCCTAGAAATCGTACGTTGAAATCCTAACCCCAGACGTGACTGTGTGAGGAGGTGGGCCTCTGGAAGGTCATGAGGTCATGAGGGTGGGGCCCTCATGAATGGGATTAGTGTCCTTGTAAGAGAGACCCCACAGAGCTCCCTCGCCCCCTCTACCACGTGAGGACACAGTGTAAAGATGCTGTGTTTGAATTAGAGAGCAGGCTCTCATCAGACACCAAACCTGCTGATGCTTGATCGTGGACTCCCCAGCCTCCAAACTAGGAGCAATAAAGTGTTTAAGCTCCTCAGGCTACCGTGGTTTGTGAGAGCAGACTGAATGGACTGAGATAGCAGGCCTCTTGGGAAACCCCTGAGGTAAAGCACAGACTTAGCACAGCCTCCTCTCTGACTATGGGTCTCCTCCCCTATAATATGGAACTGACTGACAGCGGTGCTGGGAAAACTCGGACACACGAGCAGGGCAGCTAGGCCTGGGATCACGCAGGTGCCCACACAGAGGACGTGGAAATCAATCTGGGGAAGGAGGAAGGGGCCAGGGTTGACATCAACCCAAACTGGATGGAAGGTCACGTCCAGATGGGGTAGGCACAAGTGGAGCATAAAACTTCCTTAGTTTCATCAAGATGGGACTCTTGAGAGACCATTCTGGGGGTACACGTTGTGAGGGCTGTTTCTTCAGCTTTTTACAGGCCCTAACACCTTCCAGAAACACACAGCAACTACACTGGAAGGGAAAACAGTAGATTAATGCATTTTTAAAAACTGCATGAGTTAAGAAGAGCCTGGAGAGTAAAATCTCCGATGACAAGCAGCGAGTGTAACCTGCAAGTAGCGAATGTCAATGCACATCTTAAAAACCTCTAACATAACGGTAAAAACAGGCATCTCTAACGTGACTGGTAAATTATGACTCTCGGTTCTTCATAATACATTCAAGAGCCTATGGCTTCCTTCCATGAAAGTGATGAGTCCCTGTTTCTCCGATGGCCCCTCCTTGCTCTTCCATGTGGGCATCTCCTCTTTTGCCCATGCCAGGGATGGAGGTTCTCACTCCCTACACTCCTCTCCCCTACACGAACATCTGACTCCAACCTCCTTCTTAGGTCAAATCTGTATCTCTAGTTTGGACCTCTGATAGGGGCTCCAGATCCAGACTCGATAAAGCTCATCATGTCTACATCTGAACCCACGACCTCCACTGCAACTCCACTCCTCCCTCTTCTTGGGACCCTACTCTCTCAGGGAATGAACCAGAGTTGAGCCAGAGACCTGCAGATCACCTTTGACCAGTCCTGTTCTTTCACCCACATGTCCAAGTACTGAACAACAGGGCCTAACAACCCATCCCTCTGCCTGGGCCACTACAACAAGCCTCTAGTTGCTCTTCTCAAAGCACCCATTCTCTGTTTCTGCTGTTGTCTGGACGCTGGTCAAATCCGAACGTCCTTGGTTGGCAGTCGAAGTTATGACGCTCTACGAGAAATTCAGCAAGAGTGGAGTGGCCCACTGCCAGACCCAGGGGAGTAAAAAATTTTTTCAGGACTCCAATAAAATATAATTCTCTTCAAAGCTCCTGCTTGCCATTCACAAAGCACCTACTGTGTGCTGGGTCCTGTGCCAGGCACTGCACACACCTCCTCCTCCATCCCCATCTCAATCTGCAAGGCAGATGGGGAGCCTGCTCCTTCTACAGTGGCTGACATGGGCTCAGAGAGGGTAGG